TTTTTTTTTCAGAAAGATTGCGCGTCTGGTGCTGATGAGGAGAACTGCGAGAAGCGCAAATGTGAGGAATCCGATTTCCAGTAAGTAATTTCTCATCTAGTTTTGATTATTTTGTTAACGCGTCGCATATTTTCCATTTTTGGCAAATTTGCTGTACATGGTAATAATAAGTTAGATGCAATGTGTAGCCGTCTGTGAGCAGCCTTTGATGCTCCCACTTTTTAAGAGTTCCTTACGTAAAGACTGTCCAAACGACCACTCTTCGATCGTTAGTAATTTTTAGGCCTTGGTTAGTTATTCCAAACTAGTTTGGAGTTGGATATCCATTTAGAAATGGGATTTGAATCTCCTTGAAAGATTATAAGCGCCTAAATTTCTATGTGGCCTACAGTTAGCATAAAGCATTTGTTGTAATTTGAGCACAGTTTTTACGATATAATAGAGTCGTTATCGTAACTGGTCCCAATATAAACTAACTACACCAGAAATGTTTCCAGTTTTGTTAGTACTATCTTTGCAATGTCTACGGCTCCATCCATAGCTGACGATGGGAGGTATTGAGGGCGCTGGCGATCGCCGACCTCTTGGCTTCATCTGGCGTCAAAAGGCGCTAAAATGGGTGCATTTAGGGTACGGGTTTGACTCGAAATTCTACACTTGAGTACATTTTGAAAGGAAGTTTGTTAGAAACACAGTGATTCGAACTTACATCTAAAAAGAAATTTTATAACAAAATTCATCAATATCACGAAATTGTTCATAGCTCTGAAACTACAAACAAAGCCAGTGACGAGCAAAATGTTGATAAGTTGACGTTTGAATTAACAATTGTGGTGCAAGTTTGACCCAATGGTTAGTATAGTAATGTCTACATCCTGGAGGCTTGCTTCAGGCAACTGCAGTCAATAAAGGGGTATCGCAGTACAAGGTCACACCGTATTAGAGGGGTATTACTCATATTCTGTATTCTTTTGTTTCATTGTATATTCTCCTGATTCAACAAGTTATAAATAACATTCATGACTAGTAGATAATTTCCACAATTGTCACCGTGGAGCCTATTTTACAAACTGAAATTTCTCTATCTTTTCTCCAATTTATTCACAAACCGAAAGAAAAAACTGTCAAAGACAAGAGCGCATCAAAATCGCCGCTTGGCGCCGCGAGAAGTCCATCCAGAGAGACATCCATAGGAGTCGATCTTAGTTGACGCTGGCGATCGCCGTAGGAAGCCGGCCGACGCCGGCATCGTCAGCTATGGCGGGTCACATTCGCGATGGCGTCAGACGCCAGCGGAAGCCGCGTCATAGCACGGTAATCAGTACGCATCTTATGCGTAGAAGCCATCGCAAGCTATGGCTACCAATCGTCAGCTATGGATGGAGCCCTAGGCGTAGAAGCCATCGCAAGCTGTGGCTACCAATCGTCAGCTATGGATGGAGCCTACAATGCCTCATGCAAGTTCATAGCAGCATTCAACTATATATTGACCTACTCTGGTGGAAAGAGGTAAAAGATAGGTGTGGAGCTTATCTTTTGAAAATTAATGATCACGGTTTTGAAGAGGTTTGGAAATGAAGAAGTTCATGATCAAAACAATGATATGTTTAACTATCCTTGTAACGACTCTGCAGTTAATGAATAGAGAATTCATTTAGTAGAGTACAAACATCCTTTATCGCGTCATCAGTCTCCTGATCATAGCCTTTTTTCATCTATCTGGAGGGATGTACAGCTCAAGAAGTGTTTTTTTTTCCAAAATTTTAAGGTGTTATTCATATCGGTTTCCTATAAATTTCTTGATTTCACTCAACAACATTACCGTGTAGAATCTCGATTGACGACACCCAAAATGTATTCCTTTTGAACTTCGTAGCATCAGAAAAAGTTAGGGGGGGGGGG